TCAATCAAACCAAGCTATTCATAGAATTCTTCCTTCTCTGGTAAACAAGGTCATTCCTGATAAAAACAATTAATAAAGCATTCCTTCTCATCAGATAGGAAGAACAGGGAATGATCTATGGAACTTGGCACTTTGCTTTCAGGGATTCCTTCAAGGCTCTGTGATGTGAACGGAGCTCTGCTGTAAGTAAAGCACTAATCAGTGAGCAGAGAGAGCAGTTCATCATCCAGAAGCTTACCCTCCCCCCTTCTCCAGTCATCAGGGATTAATACCTTCATGCAGGTAGTTCTTCCAGCCATTGCTAGAAAGAAACAATGAACAGTAGCTCACTTAGTCTCTCCACAGACTAGCAGTGATGGGAAACACGTTGGCAGTCTTACATACTTTTGTGGCAGCTGTTTACTCACTGCGATACCTATGGCTCTTTGCAGATGGTTGGAATTTATCATATGCATAGATGTTGTTTAGCTATTTAATAGATTCTTCTGTTGTGTTAATGAATCTTATCCTCTTTTCCATCTTGGAACTGTTTAATTCAATAGAAGATACTTTTATGGCTTTTATCTCACCTAATAAAACGCTTCTGTTTTCAGGCAACTTTGACATCTTTAACCCTTGTTTATATCTAATTAATTATCATTTTCTTTTCTAAAAGTATCTCCTCAAAAATTGTAGACCAAGCTAGGCGCCGTGGCTCATGTCTGTAAACCCAGCATTTTTTGAGGCTGTGACAGGTGGATCACCTGAGATCAGGAGTTCAAGACCAGCCTGAGCAACATGGTGCAACTCAGGGTCTACCAAAAATACAAAAATTAGCCGGGCATGATGGCAGGTGCCTGTAATCCCAGCTACTCAGGAGGCTGAGGCAGGAGAATTGCTTGAACCTGGGAGGCAGAGGTTGCAGTGAGCTGAAATTGCACCACTGCACTCCAGCCTGGGTGACAGAGCAAGACTCCAAAAAAAAAAAAAAAAAAAAATCAGCTGAGCATAGCAGCACATGCCTGTAATCTCACTATTGGGAAGGTTGAGGCAGAAGAATCGCTTGAACCCAGGAGATCGTGCCACCGTACTCCAGCCTGGGTAGCAGAGCAAGACTCCATATCAAAAAAAAAAAATAAGTAAATAAAAAATAATCATTTTTATAACAATAACAGTAGGCCACAAATCAATACTCAAATCTAGCATTTAAGGCTCTACATCAGATGGATCTAACAGTGTTTGGGTAAATGTTTAATAACCAGCTTTCAAGACAGCTTCTCCACCCTATCCAAAAAGGCCCTCAATTTGCTTATTTTCCTGGTATACATTACCATAGCTAATTTCAAGCAATCAAAATGATATCAACTCTCTAACAAGGTTCCTGAAAATTTAACAGTTAGCACTCACAAGGCAATACCAGTCAACTCTAGCACACCAATATATTGGCTGAATCAAACTTCCCACTTTATTGTTGCATGTTTTCTTTAATGCATTTTGTGTGTAAAGAACCATTTATTCATTTTTCAACATGGAATCCCACCCCTTTGTTCATTTTCTTACTCTCTGAAAAGCACTTGCCTCATTGCCACACATCAAACTCCTAAACACCCTTTGAACACGAGTTTATAGGAGATATCTTTCATGGGCATTTTTTTAATGCTCCCAAGTGAACTGAAATCCTCTCTGCTCTGATATCACCTAACATTTTTATGTCACATTTCAACATCTGCTTTACAATAATTCATTTATGCAGGTCTTATTTTACCTGAGACCTGTGTACACTTCAAGGGTAGGATCTGCATCTAATTCATCTTCATAAGTCTTAAAATACTTACAAATGTGTCTTGTTCATAATACACACAATGCAGATATTTTCCAATTTGTTTATTAATTAATCTTAATAAAGCATGCAAAAAACTTTAGCTGCCTGAAGTATGAAAAAAATAAAATTTGATTTTAACCTTCAAATATAAGTTAAAAGTTTGAAAATGACTACATGAATTAATAGAACTGTAATCTAAGCCAAATAATTTCTGAATAATATAATAAGCATTTTGCTAATTTATAAAACTAAAACTGTGTTGTTCAGTGACTAGCTAGAGAAGTATATAGCCTAGACAAATCATTCTAAAAATATAAAATGTTGAGAAAAAAATAGTATCAAAACTATGTTTTAAAATTAATTTTGAAACATTAATAAAATAGAGTAGAAATTAAACTTTATAAAAATATTGTAATTGTAACAAAGTACTCATTTTTGAGGTTTTACCTCCCCCCATTTTTGTTCCCAAAAGGTTAACAAAATATGAAAATTGAATTTAAAAGACTTTAAATCCTAAGATAGAGCTTGACCTTACTGGTTTAGAAAATAACACACTTGTTTCAATTAATCTTTCTAGCGATTGTTCTTTTCGGTATGATATTTAAGGAAAGGAAATAACTCAGTGACTCAGTTGCAAGTGACCAAGTTTCAGTGTTTCAATTAATCTTTCTAGCGATTGTTCTTTTCGGTCTGATATTTAAGGAAAGGAAATAACTCAGTGACTCAGTTGCAAGTGACCAAGTTAGACAAAAACTGGGCATATGGCAAAGTGACCCAAGCAAGTACAGAACCATGGGAAACAGTAAGAAAGGTTGAGGGTAGAGGACTAGCAGTAATGGAATGAAAGAATATGAAGGCGGATATACAGTCATAAGGAGAGGATAGAGATTTCTTGGAGAATTTTCAAAACTCAGGGGACAGATTAAATGAATATTTTTTCTGGAAAAAAAAACGATCAGAAACACAGATGGTAGACAATATGGTTCTACATCTTTGAGAAGTAAACTGTGGCTTAATATATAGAATCCCTCAAGACTTTAAAAAAATATGCTAGAATGGGAAATGCAATAGTCAACACAGGAAGGGATTTTAAGTAAAAATGTCTGCCACCTGTTCAATATGTGATGCAATCAAACAAGACTCCCTAGGCCATTTCTCACAGACCAAGTAAAGACATTCTATTTGAACTATTTCATGGGCGTCACCATGAGCACAAGCCAGGCAAAATCTTCACCATTGAAGTTCAAATTTCTTTTTAGTGATTTGAGTATTCTTTCAGAAAAACTCAAAATTCTTATTTTTTTCTCACATATCTACTTGTAACAAATACATGTCCAAATAATCACTTTAAATTCTTTCTGAATACATTTTCTGTCCTATACAAACATAATAAATGATGATTTTTATATACTAAGCATTCTTTTTTTTTATTGTTGTACTTTAGGTTCTGGGATACATGTGCAGATCATGCAGGATTGTTGCATAGGTACATACATGACAAGGTGGTTTGCTGCCTCCACCCCCAGTCACCTGTATCTGGCATTTCTCCCCATCTTATTCCTCCCCAACCTCCCCACCCACTCTGCTGTCCCTCTCCTAGCTGTCCCCCACCCCCACAGACTCCAGTGTGTGATGCCTCCCTCCCTGCATCCATGTGTTCTCATTGTTCAACACCCGCCTATGAGTGAGAACATGTGGTGGTTGATTTTCTGTTCTTTTGTCAGTTTGCTGAGAATGATGGTTTCCAGATTCATCCATGTCCCTACAAAGCACATGAACTCATCTTAAAAGACTCTTCCCCTCCACTCATAACGTCTTATCACATCATGAAACCTATATCAAATTTCAATCTTTGTGCTATTGGTTTCCATTTAGAATACACTCAGAGAAAGCTATAAAAAGACATATATTCTTTGGGCTCTCATAAATAATTCATCTCCCCTTGGTTTTATTGGTATTTGCCTTAATATCATCACTATATCTGTTAGTGCATCTGATACAAATTGGTTGAGAACAGAAAACCTATATGTTTATTTTCTCAGCTCTAAAGAGCCATGCTATTTCATGCACATGCATCTTTGATATCAATGGCCTCTGCCTGAAAGAATCCCTCTTTACCTTACCTTATTTCCCCATCTTGAAACACCTACTCAGATCACCTTCAGTAGAAATTTCATTAGATTCTTCTACTGTCTTAACCTAATTGTATCCTCCTTTCCATCTTAGAACTGTTTAATTCAATAGGAGATACTTTTTATGACTTTTATCTCACCTAATAAAATGCTTCTGTTTCCAAGCAACTTTGGTGTCTTTACCCTTTGCTTATATTTAATTAATTATCAATTTATTTTCTAAAAGTGTCTCCTTCAAAAGAGTGAAACATGTATCGAAACTCAATATTATGAACTTAATTACATTGAGTATCTAGCATTCAGGGGTCTCTATCAGATGGGTCCAGTGGTATGCCAGTAAAGGTTTAACAATCAGCTTTCCAGACAGCTCCTCATCCCACCAAAAAAGGCCCTGAATTTGCTTTCCTGACTCTTCAACTGAACTGACCACTTAAAATCTCTACTGTATCCTTTTCCCATACATTTGTAATGGATTGTATTTGACTGTTTACATGTATAACTTTCCTACACACTGCCTATATAAGATAATAAATTCTTAAAGGAAAAATAGTATATCATTGATCTTTATTTATATTCAGCCTACTAATACAGCACAGTGTTTAATAGACTCTCTGTACATGTTAAAGGGTGAATGACTATATAAACTTTATAGTTTATCTAATGCTTTATCACATTTTGTCCTTTCTACATCACAGTTACGGGGAAGATATTATTTATCCCATTGACAGTTAAATAAAGGCTCAAAGTGTCTCCTGCCCAAGATCCCAGAGCCAGTATGAAGCAGATTTCACAATAAAGTGCTCCTCATTGTTCTAAATCACCTCTCATTAGAGAGCTAATTACATTTTTGAAATTGTATTTTTAAAATTTGAGAATAGTTTTGACCCAGCCAGCCATATATTATCTACTACACATATTCAAATCTGGAAATATATAGTTTTAATTCCATATTTAAAGCCGGCTTTGCCAAATCCAACTAGTCTCATAAGCCTGAATTAATCTCAACCTAGCACACTCTATTATTTCACATGTGGAATGGATGTGCACTCCAGCCCAAAATGCCTTACCTAGTTTGTTTTAACTTCCAGATTGTTTCAGATTTTCAACAGATGGTTTAATGCTTCTTGCTTCCACCCTAAGTTGAATTCCACGTTCCATGTAAGGAGAAGGTGATCCGGGAGGCGGAGGCCAAGTCTACTGACAGACACAACACAAACCGACAAAGGGAATCATGATCATAAATCAGAGCTTAAACTTTGACCAAAGTATCTTAAGTGATACTCTGAAGAGAACGTGCTCCACAAAAGAAAGCCGTTTCATTATAGAGGGGGAAGGAAAACTGGATTTCAAACTTGTGTTGTTAGTGGCTGAAGGAATTCAGAGCATGCCATCCCAAAGGATGCCACTTGGTATATTGACTATTTTGAGTTAAAAGCACTTGAAAAACAGCAGATGCAAAAAGGACACTCTGACTTTCCTTTTCCTTCCTGAAAGCACTAGATGAAACACCCATGTGAAAGATGCCCTCCCTGTACCAGAAGGGAAGTATAATTTTTATCACCAAAGACAAGAAAAACGAGAAGCTCAGGCCGAGGAAAATCTGTATAAATCTTGCTAAATTAACCCCTATCTTCTTAGTCATTTCTTCATGACTAACTCGCCTAGCCCATTCCCCTTTGGCTTGTCACATTTTCACAATGTATTGCTTTGTCCAACTTGATACATAGGCACTCTATTAGACTCTAACTGCTGCCTTGGGTCTTTATTTTTCTATGAAGATTACTCCCATATTCATGTAAAAATCTGCATGTTTTTTTCTTTTTAGAGACAGGGTCTTGCCCTGTTGGTCAGACTGGAATGCAGTGGCACAATCATAGCTCATTGCAGCCTCAAACTCCTGGGCTCAAACGACTTTTTCATCTCAGCCTCCAAAGTAGCTAGGACTATAAGTATGGGCCACCATAGTTAATTTTTTTTATTTTTTATTTTTAGAGATGGGGGTCTCACTGTTGCCTAGGCTGGTCTTGAAACCCTGGTGTCAAGTCCTCCTTCTACCTTGACTTCCCAAAGTACTGGGATTACAGGAGTAATTCTATACACTTTTTTCACTAATCTGTTTTATGTCAAGTTAATTGTCTGCCCCAGAGACCCTAAGTGGGCAGTGTGCTGGACATGGAAGTGAGGGAACTATTAGCAACAGTTCTCCAGGACTCTTCTTTCCTTGGAAGCTGGGATATTTGTCCCATGAGGATGAACTGGAGTTAAAAAACAAATCTTGGATTTGATAATCTAACTAGTGCACTTGGTGATGATCTTAGTGACCTTTGATGAATAAAAGTTCCAAACTAATATCCCAAGATCACCAAAAGTATTTAGTTATCTGAAAGGTAGGGTGAAAAAATTATTCTTAAAGAAAAACTAAAAGGTTTACTATGTGTGAGCTCATTCCTTATTTTATCATTTCTCTCTTCCTCTCCGCTTAGACTCCACCCCAGGCTAGGCAACTGACAGTGAGAGAGAGAAGTAGAACAAACAAAACATACCGACAGGCATGCTTTCACTTAAGAAAAGCCTATAGATGAAAAAACTTCCAAAACAGGTAAAGTAAAGGGCTTGATTTGCTTCACAAATGGATTCTCTAAAGACTTTATCTTCAAATAACTATTCCTCCTAGGAGATTTAAACACAAAGTTCCATTGACCAAGGTTCTTTTTATATAGGTCATTGAGCAGATAATATAAATCCATGGAGAATATGGACCAAAAAGCAAGATAAACAGCAACAACACCCAGGAGATAATATGAATCACAAGGACACAGGTGGCTGGTGCTTTCTTGTGTATTTACAGGGTTTTTTGCCTCCAAGTGTCATCACACACACACACACACACAATCTTGGCCAAAAAAACCTTTCAGTTGAAAATAAATGAAATGATAAAGAGCCTAAGAACAAAATAAGAAAATAGATTGCACATAAGAATTTTCTTAAGTAGCACACCAGATCCATGGTCTTCATGAGACAATCCAAAACCCAAGGCAGGATGCTTAGCCCTGAAAATAAAACAAAAACAAAGGAAAAATAACAAATAAACACCCTCCTAATCCCTAAAGATTTAGTTTATTTTAAAACAATTTTACAAAAGGAGGGCTGAAATAAACATTAAGCTGAAGAAATAATCGTCTGTGCCTATTTTCTTCCTCACTTCTTCCCTCCGGTCTCAAAAACTGTTATTTCCAAACCAAGCCTAGACCAGGCATTTCATGCCCTCAGTTCCTGTTCTTCCCCGCCTTTGTGTGACTAGCTGTGTTAATTATTCCCCATCTCCTCAACCTCATCTTCCCATCAGCTTCTTCCCTGCTCTTCACATGGTTACTGTCTCTCATATACAAAACAATAATAACAAAACCCTTCCCTAAACCCTGACTTGTCTTCATGACTTCAGCACTTCCTTTCACGTGTTCTGAACTGTCTTCCTACTTCCATTTAGCAAACCATGACCAGCAGTCTAAATCCCTCCTCCACCTGTTTTTGTAAATAAAGTTTTTGCAGAACACAGCCAGGGTCATCTGCTTACATGTTGTCTCTGGGTTCATACAACAGTCACAGAGTTGTATCATCACAACAAAGATATAATGGCCTGCAATGCCTAAATATTTTACACAAAATGCTTACAGGTCATATGGAATCAAATGTCCTGAAAGAAGAGACTACACTTACTGTTATTTCCTCCCCTCTCCTCGCCCTTCAAGCCACCATGCTCAGACTTCCACCGCAACCCTTCTAAAGTGACACCGTGTTTAAAAATTATTAATACCTTCCTTGTTAAAAGTTTCTCACACACTAAACTGTTGTCTCTGAATCTAAATTTTGATCTCTGGCTTCTCTTGGTCTTCTTATTTCTCCATGTCATTATTTTCTGGGTTTCTTATTTGTTTGTTTTCTCTGTTACTCTCTTCTCTCTGTATTCTAGTTCTAAGCAATGTTATCTACTTCAATGACTTTAATTGTTGAGCATGTGTGGATGATGTCCAAATTACTCCCAGCCCTGATCTCTCTTCCAAGCTCAACATTTCCAATCATATACAGGACACTGAACATTACATGGAAAATTTCAAATGTCAAAACTAGAACATCTTATTCTTTTGTGATTATTAGTTCTTCTAGAAATTAGTAATGGCATTACTAATTTCCTAGTTCCCAAGCCTGAAAATTCTGGAAATATCATGCTTTTTCATTCCAACCATCTAAATGCTTACCAAATGTCGCAGTATGAATCCTTTTTGCACCCACAATAGCTATTGCCCCCACTCCTCCTTTCCATTTGCACAACCCCATCTACCATTTAGGCCCTCACACTCTTCCTCCCAGACAGTTGTGAGACTCCTACATGGTTTCCTATCTCCTCTAATGCACTCTATATGTGGCTTCTCTGTCCAGTTCCTAGCCTTCTCCTAACCTTTTGTTTCTCATTGCCTACTAATTGAAGTCCCAAGTCCTTAATGCATGAGTCAGTCTCAGCAGGAAACAGATGACTCAAACAGGATGACTAAGGAGAGTTTAGTGAAAGCATACTAAGTATAGGCAGAGCGGAAGGAAACCAAGTGTAATATAGGTTCTGGAGGCTAATGATAGTGGAGAACCTTTCTACTCCTGATTCTGAAGAGGCAAGAGAAAGCAGAACTTGCCAGAACCTAGAAGGGATAACAGAGGGCTGTTTGACAGAAGTTATGGTGCATTGTAGAGGGACTCAACCAACCTGCAGGGAAAAGGCCAGAGATTAAACTGAGACCTCACTCCCCAGCTACATGCCATCACTTCCAGTGCTCCTTGATGGCTGAACTCAACTGAAACCCAGTGACCAAGGAAGAACAGTCCACACAGGGTTTCTTCCAGATCTATGTTTCTTCCAGATCAGTGTCCTGGGGCATAACAAAGAAAAGAGTAGAACATAGATCTGGAAGAAAGACATCCAGCATATCTCCTTAACATTAAATCACTCCCTGATCTATGCTCAAAGGACCTTTCTGCTTTACCACAAATCCCCTTTACACTTTCTTTAATCAAGCCAAACTAGAATTCTCTCTGGATATTCAAACATTTTTTCTTTTTGCCTTTTTTCCATATTTTCAAATTAAAATTTTAAATTCCATAGTCTTCTCATATTATCAAAAACTTAAATGCCACTAGGCATTTTTATGATTTGTATCCTATCTAACATCTCTGTTTCCAAACTTGCCTATCATTCTATTAGATTGCATTAATAACTTCAATTCTTCACTGCTCATCACATCTTTGTGGTACCCTTGCATTCTGATTTTGAGCTAGACATATGACTAATTGGGGCGATGGAATAAGGCAGAGATGGCAATGTACCAGTGTATAGATTACGAGAAATCCTGTGCCTCTGTCATCACCATGAGAATTATTTGCCTGAGCTTTGCCTGATGATCCCGGGAGGTGAATGGGAGAACCAAGAAGCAGATCCAAAGTGTAGCCATGTGATTGGGCTGGCTGAACCACAGGTATATTTAGGAGTACAGCCAAAATCAGCTGAGCCCTGCAGATGCATGAGAAATAATCGGTCATTTCTATATACCACAGGTTTTGAGATTGCTTGTTCAACATCAAGTACTACAATATTATATATTCTTACCTCATTTCCTGCAGTCTGAGAGACGTTGCTACTCCTCCTCAATGTTACCCACCCAGTTCTGTCTTTAGCCCCATGTATAACCACTTCAAGATATTACTCCAGGAAAAAAAAATTCTAATACATTTAATCTCCCCTTCTCTTCTTATTACACACAAAACCTAACCTTCTGCACTGTGATAGGCAGAATTTTGAGATAACCCCAATGACTCATGCTTTGTATAATCTTCTCCCATCTGAGTGTGGGAGGAACCTGTGAATATAATGAATACCACTACTGTGGTTAGTTTATGCTATATGCTACAGTTGACCATAACAAAGGAAGATTGTCCTTGGTGGGCCTGACCTAGACAGCTAATCCCTTAAAAGGGATGGGGCTTTTCCTTGATGAAAAAATATGTTCAAAGTGAGAGAGAGTTAATGCATGAAACAGTCCCTATTGCTGGCTCTGAAGATGGAGGGGACCACATGGCAAGGAATATGGGCAACCTCCAGGAGCTGAGAGTGGCCTTGCTCTGAGCCCAGCTAGCAAAGAAGGACCTCAGTCCTCCAGCCACAAAGAACCAAATTCTGACAACAACCTGAGTATATTCAGAAGCAAATCCGTCCCAGAGTCTCCAGAAAGGAAGACAGCCCAGCCAACATCTTGATTCACACTTGTGAGAAATGAACTCTGCCCAGGCTGCTGCCCTTCAGGAGAGTGACACAACAAATGGCTGTTGATTTCAGCCTCAAAGTGGATGGTAATATTTATGTAGCAATAGAAAACTCATGCACATGCCTCTCAACTGTTTTTCTCAGAGTAGCGTCTCTAAAGCATAATAATAACTCCTAACAATTTTATAGATATCACTTACCATAGGACACCTACAATTCTAAGTGTTTTACATACAAAATAACATATTTAATCCTCACAGTCATTACTGCCATTTTCTAGTTGTAAAGCCTAAAGTACAAAGTGGTTACTAACTTGCCTAAAGTCATAGCTACTAAACTGGCAAAGCAGGAATTCAAGCCTAGGCATCCTGGTTGTTGAATCTACACTCTAAACCATCCCAGTCTACCCCACTTCTCCAGTTATCACTTACTCCTCCACCATCAGATTGTGACTCTGCCCTCAAAACTCTACTGAAACTTCTCTGCTAGAAACATCAGGATCTCACTAATTTCCAAACTCAAATATGTAATACTCCTCAGACATTAAGTTCTCTACAGC